ATATATTAAATATATATTAGTTAAATTTAAATTAAAAATTTAAATTAAAAATTATTTAATTAATTTTATTAATGTTTATATTTAATTTCGGGGTGAAAACAATAGCATCGCATATTTATATGCTAGTTCTATGACAAAATTTTGTGTTAAAAATATGTAATTACCATATATGTATTTATCATATATGTAATTATCATATATGTTTATAAAGCTAAATAATTTCATCTTAAAATAATATCTAAAATTCATAAATTTCATCAGAATACATTTTTTATAATAAAATTATATTTATATACTATATTTCAAAAAATATGAATAATAGATCCAAAATATTTTTTTAAAAATTCATGTCAAAATCATATCGGTGAATATGTCCACTACTTTCAAAAAATATGAATAATAGATTCAAAATATTTTCTTAAAAATTCATCTCAAAATCAACAATTCCCTTTCCAAAAGAAAAATATTTTAAATATTAAATAATAATAAATAAAAAGAAACTATATTTTCATTAAATAAATAAAAATAAAACGTTTAAAAATTTAACGATGTTATAGTTATCATTCAAATTGACAGTAATTGGGGATTTTACCCCATCCGAAGAAGGATAGTTCTGCTTCGATCCCAAAGCATCGAAATCAACAAGAGAGAGAAAGGAGTAGCAAAGAACGAGAGGAAAAGAAAGAACGAGTGAACGATGTGAGAATAGGAGAAAAGAGGAGAGAATCTGTCCGTGTCACTAGGTCGCGAAGAAATGGGACTGCACATGCGCGGTTCATTTTGCGCCAACCTCTGGACCGCCTCGGGACTCGAGGTATACCAAGTACTAAGAGATACAAGGGCTGTTATCAGCGCAAAGAGAAACGAAAGATAAATAGGTGAAAGAGAACGGATAGAGGAAAGCCGATTGGGATAGGGCAGAGCAATACAAGTGTAAAATACTGATATGATATGATAGATATATATAGACAAGGAGAGAAAGTAGAGTGGGAATGACAGCAAGGAATGTGTGAAAAAGTGGTTGTGTGAATTCAATAAAAACTATGATTGGCGAACGAAAAAACGATGAATGAAAAGAACATGGACAAATGAGAAAAGAATAAAGAAGCAACGAGAAACTAGAGAAAAAAAAAAAATATGAAAAGTTAGTGAGTTTAAAAAAAAGTAGTGCTTTAAAAGGAGAATTAGTTGGGACGATAAAAGAGACGTGTATCCAACAGAGAAATCGAAAGGAGGTTAGTAGAGGGTGATAGCGAGTGATGCAAAAGGGTAGAAGAAGGGGTAAGGAAAGGGAGATAAGTATGCGGAGGAGGTGAGTGATGCGCAGCATCCGAGACTTCGGTTTGGAGAATATCCTCGACAAGCATTGTGTCGAGATTGGACAGTGCTCATGAACGAATCTGTCCGTACAGTGGTGAAAAGTGTGCCCTTTTAGGAGCCAGATCAGTGCCAGGAAGGAGAGGCATTGACTCCTGGTTCAAGATAAGATCTCCTTAATAATGTTCGCGGATCCTATCGATGACTTTTTTGCCAATGTCGTTCCATCCTCTCAACGCAACGTGTACATCATTTTTTAAAACGATTGTTCTTATTCTTCGGAGAATATTTTTCTTCAATTTTTATAATATGTCAATTTTTGGGAATATTATGTTAAGTGCTATTTTATAACGTGTTTAAGAAGGAAAAATGATAGTGAAATAATGATTTATTGATATATGTAATTTGTTTAACGTGAAAAATATAGAAATACAATTTATTATGTTTATTTATTAAAATCATTTGAATTATTATTTTAACAGAAATTAAATGAATGGATATTAAAACATGTTTCACTTTCACTTTCATGACGAAGAATTTTCTCCGAATTTTAATAAATATGAATAAACTATATTTCAGTAAGTTTTAATATTTCAAGATGTGTGAGTTATTGATACAATTATTATTATTTTGGAGGGGAGAAATTAAAATTTATTATAAAATGAAAATTTTTTCTGTTTAATTATTTTTTTTGTTCAATCAAATATTATTTCAATATTTATATACTAATGTATATTATATAATGTATTATATACTAATGTATATACTAATGAATAATTTTGTAATATATTTTTACACATGAAATATATAGAACAAGGCATTAAAGAAGAAAATCAGAATGATTCTGATTACAGTTTTTGGCAACTCGATGTCGAGGTGCAAGCATCTATCGAGATGACGTCTTCTTTTATCTGCTGACATAATTTTGAAGAATGCATCACAGGATGTGGTTGCAGCAGATTTTTATCCTGATGCAGATGATTCATCTAATTGCTTGGTAATAATTGTTCATTTTATTAAAATTAAAATAAATTTATACAGGATTATTTCTTTTCTGAATTTCAATATATTTTACATATATTTTTATCATTGGTTTTCTATAAAATCTTTTATAGAAAGTTATAAAATTATAATTCGATAAAAACATACAATTCTAATTTCAAATTTTATAATTACAAATTTTATATATATTATATATTATGTAATTCAATATATATTGAATTAATAAATTATGTAAATTTTATAACTTATGAACTTCATTCAAAAAATCTATAATTTATATTACAAAAGTTAGATAAAATATCAATTTTATACTTAATTTAATTTAATTATTATAATTATTTAATTTAATAATTTTTAGTATTACATATATTATATATAACCAACTTCATATTTTTTAAAATAAAATTATAAACATATTTTAAAATTAAAAAATAATTAAATATTCATAAAAAAATATTATCTTAAAAGAGATTGTACATGTTATAATTTTATTTATTTTATTACTATATCCGTACAATGTGTAAAATTTTAGGGCCAATCTTGAAAACACAGGGATATCTGATAGATTGGAGAATGTGACACAAACAATATCACGAATCCTTGATGGTTACGATATTCGATTAAGACCAAATTTCGGCGGTAAGTATAATTTCTTTTATTTAAAATTTTAAAAAATAGTATTTATGATATTTCAGTTATATTCAAAGACTTTAATAATTAGTAGATCAAATTATTATTATTATATATATATATATATATATATCCACTTATTTAAATTTTAGTCAACAACAATAGAATTAAAAATATGTACATTTTGAATAATAATTTTTTCATTACGAAACATTTTTATTTTTATATTTTTAATATATCACAATAATATGAAAAAATTATCAAAATTTTATCAATATTTGTACGAATTTATTAAAATCAAGAACAAATCTAATATGTCTAATATGTTAAAATTTAAAATAAGTTTTAAAAATTTAAAATAAATTGTACTAATTGTGAAAGAAGAAAAATATCAAATACTGATATTTTTTATTGACAAAAATTGAAATCATATTTTGATTGTGAATAAAAAAAATTAATTAATTGTTAATAAAAAAAGTAAAATATATTCTATATTATATTTAATAATTTCTTATACAATTATTATATAAATAATAATATAAATAATAAATATTTCTATAATAGATATTTTTATAATAGATATAATTATATTCGATAATAGATACATATAATTCAAATTCATTGATCAAACTTTAAATAATAATTTCTAAGTTAATTTCTAAGATAATTTTTAAATAATAATTGATAATTTTATAATAATTTGATTATTATGAAATTAATTTGATTTATACATATGATATAATTAAAAGAAAATAGATATTATAAGAATTTATATTTGAATTTAAATAATTTTGATTAGGAATAATCATTATTGAATGATTACATTATTTTTGATTAAATGATTAAAAAATAATTTAAATAATTAATGGATAATATATATAATATAATTATGGAAAATGTTATAAAGTTTTTATTTGTTAAATTGTTAATTATTAAAGTAATTATTAAATTATATATAAATTATAATATAATAATATATAAATAAGTAATATATAAATTATAATATATCTATATGTATATATATATAGATAGATATCACGATATAAAAAATTCTTGACTTATAATTATATTAAAAATCGATGTATAAAAAATGTAGAAAGAAATAAATTTTTATGTTGTAAAAATGTTTTAATTTTTTATAAATCGAAAATGAAAAATCATTATAAAAACAATTTTTTACAAATATTTATTTGATTCAATATTCCTTTTTATATATTAATTTAATATATTAAAAAATATTTATTAATAGCAAAAGTATTTTTTATTATTTTTTATTATATTATTTAATTTCATTATATTTTTTAACATTTATGTTTTATGTTATGTTATGTTTTGTTTTTTACCAATTTTAAAGAAAAGCTCAAGTCTTTGAAAAAAATTTGTTTTCAACATAAATTTATTATCAATATAATATAAATATATTTATTCGAAATGAATTTTCAATTTATAAATTATATCAATATCGAATATTTTTTGAAATATCTATAGTATATTTTATTTTATTAATATAAAGTAAATAAATAATATGTTTAGCAATTTCAACTTCTTTGTATTTAAGAACAAAATATTCTCATAAAATGATTTTTATTTTGAACAAATATAAAAATGAAATATAAAATGAAAATATGTTACGTACAAATAATGAATTGTTAGATATCTTGGTCGAATGGATAATTTGTTCGCAAGATAAACATATAATAATGTATGTAAAACGTATATATATACATATGCAAGATTTATAAATTTACAAATTATAAAATATAAATAAAATATATGAAATAAAATATAATAGCATCTGTTTCGAAGAGAAATTCTCGGAATATAATTTTATTATATTTATTTTTTTATTTATTATTATATAATGTAATTACATATTACATTATATTTCTGAATAATTTATGAAATTTATTTTTTTTTTATTTTATATTAATAACTTAAGACGAATTATTGTCATCAAAAATGTTATTTAATTGATGAACTAAAATTGATGTTGAAAAATTTATTGGGCAAATTACAAATTTTTATAGGCCACTGATTACGCTGGAATTCAAATTAATCCGTTCAACAAGAAACTAATAAGTAATTTTTTTAATCTTCATCAATATTACTTAACTTAAAAACAATATGAAAACATATATGAAAATAAATTGTATATATAGATCATTTTTTTTATTTTTTTTATTTATTTATTTATTTTTTTTGATAATGTTTTATGATATTTTTACACAGATATTTCGTTTTCAGGAGAACCTCTGTTAGTTGGGATGGATCTTACTATCGCAAGTTTCGATGCAATCTCGGAAGTAAACATGGTAAATCTATTTTATTAATTAATAATATTAAATATTATATAAAATATTATTAACGTTATAATTTCTAAATTATTCTTATAATTTTTTTTAAATTTTTATTTATATTCTTATTTATTTAACACTATTTTGAATTTATTTTGTCAAACTACTAAAAAAACTAAATATAATAAAAAAATTAATAACATTAAATATACATAAACATTAAATCTTAAAGGAAAAAAACGATATACAAAAAATATAAGATTTAATTAGTTTTATCTAT